GTCCAGATAGTTATCAAACGTTTCTTAAGAAAAACTTTATATTTTATGTGTTATTTTTAGTAATTAATCTCTGTACAGGTTCAGTAGATTTGACTGATCTTGTAACCACCATAAAAAATTAAGAAATAAATATAAATTATGCCTCTTTCATTCTAGAATGAACACAGATTATAACATGAAAACATAAATGTTTAGACTAAATAGCTTAAATTTCATAACATTATACATTTATATATATTTATTATTTTTATTATATTGACCTTTCAGCCATGCCTGGCTAACAATACAGAAGTTACAATGACGTGGCTCACGTGCACTGATGTTAACTTATCAAATAACATAAAACTGACCTTTGATCTGTACAAAGTAACTTGTCTTGGCTGTGTTTTAGTAGACTAGTATTTTGTAAAATAGTCACATTTCAATTATTATACATTATATATGTATATAGATCATTGCTATTTTGAAATAAGTTCTTAAATTTATTTTTCTTAACACATAGAACAGTAAATCTCTTTTAGTTATGACCTTTGTACTCGGTAGTTGCTTAATGTAGGTTTCTAAGCCTTTAAAAAATTTGCACATGGAGGATATGAAAAAAATATTTTTTTAAGTTTTATATATACATTTGAATAACTAAAAAATCATAAATTACCACATTAATACCATAGAATTCCACTAATTTAGCTAGCTTAGTAACTAAGATGTATTTTAGTCTAAAAAAATATGAAATTTCGAGCAGACTAAAGACACACCCTACCTCATTGAAATATTGGTTCAAAAGAAAGAAATGGCACCAAGCCTGTTAAAATGGCTGAGAAAGCCACTTGGGGGACATTATGAACTTCCGATTGGTTATTCATGTTATATATAGAAGTAAGTGTATATAAAGGAGCATTTCCAAAAATGGAAAAAAGGTGGGTGGGGTGCCACTGTGTTTGATTTATTACATGAACAATATCTTAGCAAATTGAAAAAAGAAAAGTAAGAGGTTCGTATTTTGTATTCTAGCTTGTCAATATTGGTAATTTGAGTTTCTAATTCGTACAAAACTATAGACTTAGTATTTTGATTTCACAAACATCTAATTTGAACCAGTGCTACATTCAACATACCACTGAAACACAAAAATCAATGTTTATCTATGGTTTTTAATATTTCCTTTTAAACTAAGAAATTGAGTAATATATAGTACTAAAATTTGAATTATAATCTACAGTTTGATACCAAAGTTACTGACATAAATTCATGAAATAGTAGTTCAATAAAATATTGAATGTGAGGTAACGTCCTTTCACCTGTGACCCATCTCGAAAGGGTTAAATCAAAAGTACAAAAACTAAAAAAAACCACTTTAAATATAAAGGGTTGAAATCGCAGAGGTTAAGATTTTGACAGATTTTTTTCTTTTGACAGTGGTCTCAATAAATGACATAATTATTTAACTGTTACAGTGAACCAGAGAGTCTTTGTTGCACATATATTTTGTAATCAAGATGAGCTGTATTAATATTTAAATTAAACAATGCTAACTGTAAGGTTTCACTATACATACTTGCTCATAAGGTTGATATAGCTGAGCATTTATTTTATTGTTACATCTGTATTTATTGTATATGATATAGACTAACTACAAAATTTTGTTATAGGTATTTGTTATACTAAGCTAGGTACAAAGACTTTACCTTCCAGAAAGCTTGTTCTGCCTCATCGTACATCTCTAAATTATTGTATGTCCTTCCAACATTGATGTGAGCTCCAATATCATCTCTTTGAACACTAAAGAACATAGAAATAGCTTATTTTATTCAATTATACTCTCCTCTGATCTTAATAGTCCACCAACAAACAGAGAATAAGTATTGGACTGAAAATTATAGCATAAAGTACTAATTGATGTTATGTATGACGCTCTTCCATGTTACTCTTTAGATTTAAAAGCCAAAGTTTAGTAGCTGGTATGATGAAAGAGTAAGCACAAAAAATCACCAATATATTTAAGTAGATTTAAAAGATCCAGCAGCTAAAGCATTTTTGAGTAGATGACTAGTCTCTTCAGGATTATAAGTTAGTTGAAATTGTTATATTTATATAATATATAATTTTATTAGACATTCAATATGTAGCAGTTCATATTCTTTCAAACCAATAGAAGACAATAAATAAAGACATTCTCCGTAGAAAATATGGCACAAAAGACCTTGTATGACTTTTTTATTTTACCACTGTTAAATTGCAGGGTAATATACTAGCCCACAAATGAAAATTTAGAGTAAAAGTAATACCTACAAATTCTAATGTCAAGTTGAGGGATGGTATGATTAATGTATAAAATGAACGAACCACAATCACCATAGCCAACTACACTGTATAAAAATATACTTACATGCAGTGATTGTAGTGGGGTGGAATGAGGATGAATGCCATCCTACTTTTTTCAGGAGGGCCCAAAACCATCCCACTACCTTTTAGTAGACTATAAGGGAAGGGTTCAATAGACAATGAAATAAATATTTATGGCAGCAAGGAACTGAGGAGAGAAACTAAATTTTTTCTATTAAAATGTTGTGTACGAGCGAGGCAGGAATGAGACAAAATAGTACAATGATGAAGCAAATCAGCCCTCTTGCTACAAGCTTGGTCAATGTGATTGAGTTTGTAGCCACAAAGTAACCATCAACAATGTCAAAAGTTAATTATTTGAAAAGCAATAGTTATGATAAATTTTGTTACATAACTTTGTACAAGTCATACTTTGTGTATATAGTTTAATTGATGTACTAGGCTTTTGTAACATTGTTGATGTCATCTTACTCGAAGCTTCTAAATTTTTCTTTCTATGTTTAATACTGTCATTACTAGAGTGCTAGATATTTCTAGATTTTTCTATTGTGTGTTATAAATATGTGCAGATACAAAAATTATGCTAGCAAAAGCGAGTTAGTGAAAGTAAAAGTGAAGTTAGCCTGTGTATGCATTTAGCCGTAACGGGCTACTTCTAGAGTGAGTTTCACAGTTTGTATTGTAATAGCAAAGATAGTGGAGAATAATTTGTGTGTTTTAAAGTAATTTAACCCACTTGTGTGGACTTTGATGAAAAGAAGACAATTATTTAAAGTTCTGGATATAACTGTGGTAACCAACAGTTACAGTCGGGATTTTGGAGTAACTGAACCCACCGACATGGACTTTGATGAAAAAAAAAAAAAAGAGATAATTATTTAAAGCTTTGGATACAACTGTGATAACCAACAGTATAACAAAGTTTTGTACATACTTTTGAATTGTTTTGAATATATATTATTTTCAAACAAGTGGATTGTGTACTGTCTGTATATTTGTTGAAATTTATCACCAACAAGTCACAGACACCTGCTGTAAAGAATCATGGCTCCTTTAAAACCTAACACTAACCTTATCTAACCTAAAAAGTTTATTACTTTTATATTTCAGTTACCTTTATAATAATACCTAAAGAAAACATATAAAAACAAGAAATATAGTAATCAGCTTCAAAAATTTCACAAACCATCCCACTTCATGTATTGTTTACCTGGTTACCCACATTCCTGTGGAGAAAACTTTATTTACTTCAATGGAGGTTTAATCAGCTACTATTTAGATGGTTTCAAATGCGTTACAAGTCAGATGGATGTGAAAAATTTTCTGCTCTTTGTGTGTGGTTCATATCCTGGTATTTTAGCGTCATTTGATTTTATTGTATGATCTTCTTCTTCTCTGACTTTATGGAATATTGCAGGTAGATTAGTATTACAATACTGTATGTCTAACATGTTCCTTTTGTTGGTCATTTTGTTTCAGCAATATATTAAAGTCCATAACCACAACAGATGTATTAAATGGTGCTTTTGCTCTCCATTGGATTTGTTAGATAATTTGGTATGTACTAACTGTGATCACATTGTACTGGAGTTTCTGAAGACTGTTCTGACTTTATGCTGCTTGCATATATTTTGGATGTTTTAAAAGAAACACTGACATTGTGGAATATGGCTGTGTGTGTTTGTGAATAATTTTCTTCCTGTTTATTCTAAGTGCTTATCTTCTTTATCAAGTGTTTAGGATATACAAAGAGGGTCCCATACATCTTCTATAGTATACATTGTTACTTTTTGAGGTTGGACAAGCTATAACACCTGTCTTTACATAAATAGGATAGTTTGATCTAGAGTCAAGATATTTAGCTGTATCTATTGTGGTGTGATGAATAGGAAAAGGAGTTTGTTATTTTTATCTGTTTATATCATTAACTTTGCTACAGAATGTTCAAGTGGTACACAAATTCTGAAATCTTGTCTACAGTGTTTCACCACATTACATACAAGTTCTTGAAATACACGATGCAGTTTATTTTGTTAAATGAGCATTGTAATAGGTTTACATTTCACGGCTTTATAGACTGTTTATTTTATTTTGATTCTAAATTACTTTTTCTTCTTCTGGTAGGCTGAAAGTGATGTATTTTGTGGTCATAGCTATATCTACGGTCAGTATTTTGTTATGCGTTTGAGAGTGACTTAATCTTCAACTTAGCAAACTTTCTTCTGGTTCCATTATTGGCCAGTTACTTAAGTTTATTATTGTGCATTTAGATGTTTCTGTAGTATTTAAGAGCAAATAAGTGAGTTTAATTTCTTACATTTGAATTTCCTTAGTATGTGAACATGCTTATTAGAATGAAGTTTGAATAGTTGTGCATATCTTGAAGGCATCCATGTTGTCTATTGTATTTTGTCAATGCTGTTCTGCATATTGTGCTTATTAATGAAGTGATATCTGCTCCTATCTTTGAGTATAGTTTTAAGTTTCTAAGTTAGTCTCTAACATCCTGGAGTTTTAATAGCTAATTTGATCTTATGTCCTTTGAAAATTAAGCAGTTCTGTATACATTTGTGGAAGAATTGGTAATACGTACCTAATAATAAAAATAAAATATTTAATCCGTATCTTAGGTGATCTTATAGGATGCTAACCAAGACAATGATGCATTAGATTAAATAATTTAGGGTATTGTTGCATCAGCGAGGTCACGTGACTAGTATCACGCCACTCCTTCTCTCGAACCTTCGTGAATTATCGGGAGATTACTAGATTGGGGGTAGTCTGGTATATATAAGATGGTCACAACGTGACGGGAACAGAGGTAATGAGTAATTGAATGTATGCGGACAAGATATTGTTGGCCACGTGAGACATAGCGTTGTTATAGAGTGACTGTTGAAATTAAGTGTATCGTAAAGTTATATTCAGAAAGAATAAATCAGTTTTATTTAAGAGAGGACTTGTGTCGCTAAAGTTTCGTCGGAACGAATTTACGGAAAATTAACTAACGACTGGAGGCGTAACAGTATGCACAAACTGTTAAAGTCTTATAGTATTATTTTATTTAATAAGAGCATCAAATTAAGAGATTTTCTCTAAGTTGATGACCCATGAAGTGGTCTTTAAGTTAGCTTCAACAAACCTGGAACAGTACATGCATATCTAAAGTATAGATATGTTTAAAGTATCTTAAACTTAGTTCACTATCCTTCAGAATATGAATACAAGAAAAATCAAACACTTAAATTGTTAAAGAAGTGACTACATTACTATGAATGTAGATTTAGTGATTTTTACGAAAGTGATCAGTACTTATATTTTGTTTACTAAAGTCAAAGTACAACTGTGACTAATATTACTTGAATTATTGACAGAGGATCAAGAAAGAAGAAAACTAGCAGATTTTGTACACTACCAAGAAGCTTGAAGGAAGTATTCCAATGCATCCTTAAATTTTCCTTCTCCTTCTAAAGCATGACCCACATTGTTGTAAAGCTTAGCATTTTGTTGGTTGACCTTTAACCCAGCCATAAAGATTGAATATTCAGTCTTCCTGAAACAAATTGTATTGTAACTTTTCAATAACAGATAATAGCAGTAGAAAAATAGTTTACTTTTTATCATGCTTTGTTACACTAGCTTATGAAACAATTTTAAGACTGACAAGATGTACGTGTTTGATGAACAAAACAAGTTTAACTAGAAAGAATGGAGGCATAGCCTACTGATGCTCCCCCATCCTCTAGTTAAAAGTGGTTAAAAAGTTTTATCAGATTTGAGAGAAACCTAACACAATATGTTTGTATGTGCAAGGGGTATATATAAGGACTCTAGTAATGTTCATACATGCCACATTACAGACCAATCATTTCCAATCTATTTAACACATACAAAGTTTCATTTTTTAGGATGGTGGCATTTTTGGATAGATCTGTAAACTGTTTGTTTTAATTAACATACACTTGCAAAATACCTGTATTATCATGTGCAAAAAATATACATATATACCAGTAAGGCAAATGCCAATAATATCACACAGAATGTTGTGATTAAGACGAATGTGCGAGAACATGCCTCAAGATGCATAAATTTAGGTTCAAGGGTCTGGCTTCTTCCAGTTAATGAGAGCCTATAAAAGTTTACAGGAGTTGCAAAAATATTAAACCCGATCAAATTTATACCAAATATGTCAAGTTTCTATAATAAATCATGAAATGTACATCATTAAGAAAATTGTGGAAACTTTCAGCAAACACTAAACTCAATTTTACTTTATTTTATTAGTTAAGACTTTTAATCTTGACTGGATTTGATTTGACAAAGCTCATTCTTGACAGGTTTATATCATTATGTATATCATGAGTCACACGTTCTCTACTGCCAGAGCATGCAAAATGACGACCAAATGGCAAACAGTTGACTGCTGAGTTGGGTAAATTAACCAATGTTTGTATACCGTGAATGAAAGAAATGTATATCAATTGGTTTTCTAGTTACTCTCTTAGTTTTACACCGCTATATCACACATTGTGAAAAAATTACTGCACCAATGCAACCACATTTGAACATGCACATCTGTTTACATCACATAACACAATTACCTCCCAATACTCTCCACCAGGATGTGGAAGTAATAAATAATGTTTTGATTAGGTCTTTGAAATACAATCCATGGATGAAAATCAAGTAATTTCTAAATCAATTATCATGAAACAAAAACATATTGTACAACTGAAAATTAATCTTCATTTAAATTAAAAACATATATTAATTTGTTGAAATTACTAATGTGTGTGGATAAAAACAAAACTGCATAAACTAGATTTCTTTCTAAAGGAAAATTTAGACAAAACTTCAACAGCAACTCACTAATCATCAATCACTACGACTCTGTCTTATTTGTTTGTTTGTTATTAAGCACAAATCTGCTCAATACTGTGTCCACCATGGATAGTAAAACCAAACTTATGGTGTTGTAAGCCATGAAGCTTACCACTCAGTCACCAGAGGGCTATTCTGTCATAAAAAGAACCTTTATTTGCAATATCAACACTCATTGCTAACAAACCATCTGGTGAATGATAGGAATAGATATAACAAAGATATAAGTTACATCTCGATTATTTAATAGCTGAACACATCCTATTTTTTGAGCACAGAAGTTAGCTTAATGTATCATTAAGTTAAAAATGTGTTAATTTTTCTATTCAAGTTAGCTTTGTGAGATGCCCTACACAACAGACTCTGGTTAATGTCATTTTCTATACAAATGTGCTGAGTGAAAATAAGTGTTATACAAAATTGTGTATAATACCAAATATTAGTTTTAAACTTTTTCCAAGTTTCATAACTTATGCTAAACACACTTTAGGACTTACAGCTATTCGTGATTCTAAAAAAACTAATGCGGTGATATTCTAAAATAAAAGCTAGTAACTTCACCTCCTCATACAGTTTTAATGTGGTACTAAATATTTATATTCAATTTACCTCTTTCACTGATTAAAATTGTGTAATTATTGATACACAGCATACATTTATCTTCTAAGTCTCAGTTTATAATTTCTCTACATTACAAGTATTTTCATTACATTGACCAAAACACAGTGATGTTTATATTGGAAATATCTGATGCACAATAATTAGCACACAAGCAGTAAAATAATTTGCTACTGATATCGTTAACTCACCAGTCAAAGTTGCGGACAACTGTTTTCAGGCTGTGAGATATGATCAGTACTGTTAACAAGGTCCACATGATAGGTTTCCATCTTCTAGATCCAGAGTATGGAGTAATTAAATGTATTTCATATAATAGAATTTGAGTTAGTACAACAAACTGCCATCTAAACATTTATGGAAAAACCTTTAAAATGAAAATAGTGTCAAATAATGTTGAACCACGTAAACTACTTTACAAATCAAAACTTCAAAGTAATAGTTCAAGCTCTCAAAGAAAATTCTCCATATCAGGTATAGAGTTTTCAAGCAGAATTAACAAATGAAGTTCAATGATTTTTGATCCAATATCTGGCTAACTATATGATTCTTTAACATAAAACTTCTCCATATACTGATTAGACTTCTAACGAAATTTGCATTTTGGGGCCATATAATGTTGTATTTATCATCAAAATACTTGTTACTTTAAAAATCTGGTAGAATATGAGTAAAAACTTGATTAGAATTAGAGCTGGGCAATTAGTGGAATTTCATAATCAATTAACTGTCTAACCCATTAAATGATTATTCACAAATAAAACTTAAATAGTTGTAATAATTGAAAACAGTAATAATCAGAAACACTAATTTTGAGTAGTTAATTATTTTTCTAACATTAATTGCTTTAATGATAACTAATTAATAGATTATCTTATGGGACATTAATTAATTAATCAATGCTCACAGGTAATTGATTATAGTGATTAATCACCCAGCTGTTATCAGAATGGCAGGGAATGAAACATACTGCCTTATCATTAGTTGAAGAATAAAGTATTAATTTTCTATTTTAATTGTAAATAACATTATAGGAAACACAAAATGGTAGAAAACTGTTAACAAGGCATCTAGTACAGCACTAAGATCACTTGAGTTGCAGGAACAAAGCACAAAAAACTCCTAGAAAGTAAAAGTACTTATTCAAACAACAGTACTATAAATTAGGAGTTACCATATTTTCATCTTTATGACTGAATTTATAGTTAGAATTGACCTTTGGCATTTCTAATAATGGAAGAAAAAGTAATTCCTGCTATTTTCAAGCATAGCCTTTATCTCTAGTATTAAATCATAAACATTAGAATAATAATATTTCTGTTTCTTGCTATAATTGACTTTCAGTTCTTGTAACCAGGAATAAAGTATTAACTGTCTAACTTTTACCTGAAGGATGAAAGCTTTGCTCTGATAAGCTTAAGATGTATCAAGTTATACCAATTTTTATATGATAGACATATCTTGAAATAAACATCTTATTTGCAATGAAAAAAAAAAGGAGACAAAAATGTCAGAAAGAACACTGGTTAATAATGATTATGTGATTTATATATAAACTTCTTTTCCTCACTAAAACATGAATTACAGCAAAGAAAAAATGACATCAAAACCAAAAAGATGTTAATATGATGCCTAAAATTTAACATACATTTTCTTTTTCACAAAATACATTGAATATATATATCATGCAATTGATAAAAAAGAAGACACTATAATCTTTACATATCCTTACATTTTTTCCATTAAGAGATGCCACCCATATGCAACTAAAAGGCATAATCCCATACTTGGAGTGTATAGGACTCTTTCTGCTACCACAAATCCTACAGGAAAGAACAAGTTGGAGGCCGGAAGAAATGGTAGCACCGTGAATGCTAAGCCCTACAGGCAAAATTAACGGTTACATGTTACTATTAATACAGCTTTAGAATTGAAAACAGTGTGAAAGATAACTCCTAAATATTAATTGGATTTTGGTTCCTTAATTAACATTATGAGGGCTAGATCTAAAAAAAATATACTGTAAATATTATCAATAAGATATCATCAAATCTAAAAATTACTGTATAATAATATATATATATATTTACGACATGCTCTATTTCTAGCTGTATCAATAGAATTAGTTACACAGAAGTAGCATATTACAAAATAATGAAATAAGATTTATAAAACTGATTATATAACAGGGCATGTATTGTAAGGTAAACATTTCAACCTTACTAAGAAAACAAATTATAATAGCTACATGGCTTGCATACATGCTGAATACTTTAGGCATGATTGTTTTTTCAGTTGTTTCGTATATATTCAGTAAATAATAATTAAAAGCAGAGTTTATGAATCATTAGGAAAATATTACATTCTATACTGAAACATCTTTATCTGCCTGACCTGAAAAGTATCCATTTTTTCCCAAGTATCCAATTTCATGAAGTCTTTTACTTATAGTTTAGTGGCAAAAACTGATTGATATCAAAAGTACTTAGCACAGTTTTCTTGGTCATACTTTTATTTTAACCAGCTATACAACCACCCTTATGTTTAAAATTATGAAGTATATGAACTAGTTATAGAGGAACAGATTATGTACACATTATATGGACCTACCATAGTAACAACTTCAGAATGACCATCATCTGAGAAAAGGACAGACCCCGCCAACAGTACAAGAGCTAAATAAACTGCTACAGTTGCAAAGTTACGAGGATCTGTGAGTGACTCTACCAATGGAATTGTCCCCATTGTCCAATCACAACACAAACTGAAGGGGAAGAGAGTGAGCCACGTGTTAACGGCCAGTAGATAATTGTAGGTAAGCTGTCGAACAGGAGTACCAGCCACAGCTGCTGGGTTGTCAAACCTGTGAAAAGCAAACAAATTATGCTACTAACTGTTCTTTTTTTAACAGTAATAATAGTTAATCAAGCTCTTACAATTCAAAGAAGAAAGCTCAAAGTGTTAAAATTAAAATAGGCAGCTATATTCATCTGATGTGGCAAACATAAAAACATACTGTCCATAAGACCAACATATCAAATATTGCTATTTGTAGAAAGTTTGATACATTTTGGAATATGATTACAATTATTAATTTCTTTGGTATTAGTCTTACAGATATAACTTGGTTTTATGCTAAAACAGTTTCACTGAGCTTTCAAACGTGGCTTTACATGTAACATGCTTTAGAACTAACAATCTACTATACATGATACATATGATAAATCCTGTCTTTTATTTCTGTTGTATTGGAGCATACATACAATGGGAACTTCTTTCAGTTGGGAAATTATAGTTATATTCAATGTGTTTTATTATAAAAGTGCATAACACTTTTTGTTAATTTACCAAATCATTAAAGCAATTCAGATTTACTGGAGGGCGTAAATTATGGCACAAGTGATGATAGTTTTAAACTTACAGAATATAAAAACCAGTAAAATATGAATAATGTAGAAAAAGGCATAAAGAACTGTCTCATACTTGTTATTTTTGAAGACATCTATGTTTTTGATCATTAAAGAATATTAAATACTTGAGAAAAACAAATGTGTTATAATACTGCTTACTTTTTATGCTGTACATTTTATAGCATTTAAGATATCTCCCTGAGCAAACAGTATTAAGTACACTATTTGCTTCAGACTTTTATGTTACACAATTGAGTTAATTTATCTTATTTGACTGACTTAAATACAATATAACTAAAACTGTTGTTTTGGTGTTAACACCTTTTTCACTGTTGTTGTAACAAATAGCTTATATGTATAGTGTTCTGACCACTACTGTACTTTGTTTGTTGTGTCCCAACTGACCTGATGAGTTCTGGATTGAGCGAAATGCATCTTGGCAATAGATAACATGAACATAGAGTGGTTAGAATATTATTATTGTACACCCTTCTAAATCTTCAAAATCTCTAAGGGACTAAATATAGTATGCAGTGTTAGAAATATAATAAGCCTAATACTAATGTCTTATGACAAGTAATTTAATTATATTGTAGATAATTTATAATAAATATCACTAACAATGCAGGCACCTTGTAAAAGATCATTAACTATAATGTACACACTTAATAACACCTACGTTGAACAATGGTGTAGATGCTTGGTAATACATTTAATTAACTATGACACAGAAAATTAGCAACAAATTATGATATGTATACTTTGTAGCATTCCATTAATGGTGAAGCCAAACTTTGGTAACTGGGATATATATACACACACACACACACTTGATATCATATGCTTTAACTATGATGTAGAGATTTAGTAAAGTGTTTACCATGAACTATGATGCAATGGCCAGAGCTCTCAAATTTGAATCCTACGTTAAGTCCAGCACAGAGGTACCAAGGTTGATACAGTCATCTGGATTCAAGGCCAGAAAAGGTCATCATTCAGAGAAGTTTGAGGGACTTTGCTGGCACTGTAACAAACCTGGGCACAAGAGAGCTCAATGCTGGAAACTTCAACACAGGGGAGATGATACAGCAGGAAAGGCTGTTGGAACTGTGGGGAGCAAGGATATCTGAGAAGCCAGTGTAAGAAAAATACCACCAATAAGTAAGCTTCGGGAAACCAGTAGTGGTTGGTGCTGAGGGACGCCCACCAACCTCCATTGTGAAAGTCCCAACAGTTAAGTGTAAAATGGCAAGCACACATAGTATCTATGTGACAGGGAAGCTGGATGGCCAAAGGTTCAAATTTGTCATAGATTCTGCATCTCAGCAAACCCTTGTGAGTATCAAGGGTGCTGGATCACTAAGGAGTACCAGAAACCATACAGAAGCTCTGTGAGGTGACAGAACATTATGCAAAGTTGTGGGGACCAATGTCGGTAACTATTGAGCTCATGGGCTTAAAGGACAGACACAAAGTATACTTGGCTGGCATTGATGACCAATGCATATTAGGGTTGGACTACTTACTACCGAGGAAGTGTGTAGTTAATTTTTATAAAATGACGTTTGGGAACAACAAAGGCCAAATTCCGGTAAGTGTTGCCACACATGTTGATTTGCATGTCACAGCACTTAAATCAACTACAACACCCCCTATGCCAGAGAATATACTTTGGGGTAGAATAAAAGAACATCCCGATGCTTGTGGAAGCAGTGGAAGACCCATCAAGGCCAGCAGATGTGAAGATTGGAAAGTCACTTGTGGCAGGTCATCAAGTAGTATCCATAACAGTGGCTAATTTCTCTAAATGTGAGCAGACAATTAAGGAAGGGACATTGTTGGGTGTGTGCCAAGAGGTAGAGCCAGTCAATGTTAAGGCAAGAAATACAACCATAAAGAAAGGACATCCACTCCCAGAACATTTAACTGACCTCTATAAGAAGAGTATAGTCCATTTGTCATCATCACAGGCTCTTCTGGTTAGAGAACTCTTGGCGAATTATGCAGACGTCTTTTCAAAAAGAGATCATGACCCCGGCTGCACAGACCTTGTGGAGCACAGAATAAACACAGGCAATCAC